CTCTTACTTTTTTAAAGATTTATTTATTATTTATTCAATTAATTTACTTTTGGCTGTGTCAGGTGTTAGTTGAGGCATGCGGGATATTTCGTTGCGGCGCACAGGCTTCTCCCTAGTTGTGGCATGTGGGTTTTCCCTTTCTAGTTGTGGTGCATGGGCTCTGTAGTTTGCGGCATGGAGGCTCTCTAATTGAGGCGCCCGGGCTCAGTAATTGTGGCGCGAGGGCTTAGTTGCCCTGAGGCATGTGGGATCTTAGTATCCTGACCAGGGATCCAACCCTCGTCTCCTGCATTGTAAGGTAGATTCTTTACCACTGGACCACCAAGGAAATCCCCCTTCTATTATTAAAAGAAACCATTTCTGGGGGGCCCAAAAAGTACTGGGACCACCATGCCCATGGACAGGTCGGCCGGGCAGGGCCTAGTGTCTGAGCAGTGAGGGGTGCAGCCACGCCTCTCTGGGTGGGGGTCCCCCCAGCACCCCCACCCCTGGTGTCCACCCGCTCCATCAGCTCGGAGCGGTGCTGGGGGATTCCTGGGGCAGAGGATCTCGCTCCGCCCCTCGCTAACCCGGCCCCTCCGCCCCACGCAGGTCAGCGGTCGCTGGGGGGCTCGGCGCCCGTGGCCATCCCAGGCTGCCTGCCCCGCTCCCCGTCCCTGCAGTCCTCGTCGTCCCTGTCCGCCTCCCCACTCGGCTCCTTCTCCCAGTCCCTGTCGGGGCCGCTCGTCTCCTCAGCCATGACGCCCCCCCAGCAGCCTCAAGCCCTCAAGTCGGAGCCCCGAGCGCTGGGCCCCCCAGCCCCGTCCTACAACTCCTTCGGTGAGCGGGTCTCTTGGGGCTCCACGTGCGGGAGGCGGCCACAGCGTGGCCCATCCCATCCCCGTGTCTGCTGCTCGGCGCAAGGTGCCCTGGGCAGGGGGCCTGGGGTTTGCACCTGAACCTCTATGGGGGTGTCATTGTGCCTGGGACCCCGAGCCGCTCTCGTGACACCACCACGGCGAGACCTGTCTCACCTGCAGGCTGCGGGGGTGTGATATCGCCAGAGACCAAGCGCAGAACCAGACAGATTTGCAAAAACAGGAAACTTGATTTAAATTTCTTTACTTGAGAAATGTTATGCGATCTGTTTTGTTTTTAAAGAGTTGATATTTTAAAGTATCTGTTTTAATTTCTAATGAAACATGGATGTCAATGGATGTCACCCATGCAAACAAAAACCCTTTGGGGTCCTCCAGATTCTAAGTGCGTAAAGGGTTCTGGGACAAGAGTCTGAGCACTGCTGCCTCCAGGATGCAGCCACAGAAATGGATTTGTTTCCTTTTCTGGTGGAGAGATTGGGGTCCCCAGAGCTTGCTGGGAGATGCTTGTGAGGTCCCAGCACAAAAGCAGGCTGACATCCGGCTCCTCCACACTCAGGCTTGAATGGCGTCCCCGGCAGCATCTGGGACTTTGTCTCTGGCAGCTTCTCTCCCAGCCCGTCCCCCATCCTGAATGCTGGCCCCACGGCCCCTTCAGGCGCGAGTCCAAACAGTGCTGAGCTGGCCCGGGTCAGGCGGCAGCTGGAGGAGGCCAAGAGGAAGATCCGGCAGTGGGAGGAGTCCTGGCAACAGGTGAAGCAGGTGAGCCTGGGGAGGGGCCGCCGCGCAGGTGAGACAGGCGTGTGTGGCGGCTGCCGGCCCCGTCACTGCAGCCCCTGGGTTTCAGGCCTGTGACGCGTGGCAGCAGGAGGCCAAGGAGGCCAAGGAGCGGGCGCTCGCGGCCGACAGCGCCCGGCAGCTGGCGCTGCAGAAGAAGGAGGAGGTGGAGGCCCAGTTCCGACGGCTGCAGGAGGAGCTGGAGGGCCGGGGCTTGGCCTCCATGCTCCCTGGGCTGCGCGGCTGTGGTGACATCGGCGCCATCCCCCTGCCGAAGCTGCATTCGCTGCAGAGTCAGCTGCGCCTCGATTTGGAAGCCGTGGATGGGGTGAGTCCGGGTCTCGTTTTCAAGGCACTGGAGGGGGTGCATGGAGGTGGTGGGGAGCCGGCCGAGCAGCTTCCGTCCACTCCCACCTTCGCCTCCTCTTGGAGGCCATGCCCTCGTGGACAGGGGCCACGTCGCCTCACGCGGCTGGAGGTCTGGTGTTGTTTGGGGCACCTCCCTGGGTCACCCTCCAGGGTCCCTGGTTACCCCCTTGCCTGGTGTAGCATGAAAGCTGCTGCCCTCAGCTTAGTGGGAAAATCCTTCCACACCCGGGCATTTTGTTAGAACCTGGGGCATTGGGAAGGCTCCACAGCTCTGCCTCTCAAACACTGTCCCCTCCCTGGCTCACGGCCCAGGCCGTTGGGATGCACACCTCTCATCCATCTCCAAGGCGCCATCATCCAGGTTTTGGCTGCTGTCGGCCGGAGGCTGGGTCCCAAGTTGGGGTCCATCCTGACCTGGCCCCTCCGTGTGGCCGCCTGCCTGGCTACCCTTCCCACACCACGTGGTGGCTCTGGCCCCGGGAGCCCGTCCCCACCCAAGGGTCTTGTGGTGAAGCCTCTCCCACCCCATCTTTTCGTTCCTGGGTGGCCCCCAGCAGGGGAGTCCACCCCACCCTGACCCTGGGCCCGGCCTGGGTGGGGGCGGGGTACCCCCTGACTGCGTCTCCCCCGCAGGTGATCTTCCAGCTGCGAGCGAAGCAGTGCGGGGTGTGCGGGGAGCGGGCCCGCAGCGCTGTCCTGCGGCCCTGCCAGCATCGTGTGCTCTGCGAGCCGTGCGCAGCCAGCGCACCCGAGTGCCCCTACTGCGCGGGCCAGCCCCTGCCCTGGTGACGGCCGCCTTGTCGCCCGCCTCCTGGTGCCACCGACGTCGGGACCCCAGCCCCAAACAGACCATCCACGGTCTCGTACTCTCCTCACAGACCCTGAAGGCCGTGTGGGGGGCTTGGCGGGCAGGGTGACTCTGCGGGGTTTGTGGTCCTGACGCCACTGTGACCGGATCCTGGGAGTTCACATCCCGAGAAGCACTTTGTAGACGGAAGAGTTTAGGCAGACGTTCCGAGTTGCTATAAGCTGCTTTGAGGTTCATGTTTTTAATATGCGATAATATGAAGCTTTATACGTGTACTGTGAACAGAGTACTTCCTATCGGTCTATTGTTAATCCATAGCACGGTAAACACATTAGGTTTCATATCTGAAATTAGTACTTATGAAGTGAGCATTTATCTAGTAGTGAGAAATGCCTAGGATTTTTACAGTTTCCAAATTAAGTGCAAACTAATAGTATTTATAGCAGAGTGATTATTGAGAGACACATATACATGTAGATGTTTTTAATTTTATGAAGGGAACTCATTTCCTGAACACGTGCACATTAACTGGAGCGTCAGTGACAGCGCCCTGCGCCTGCGGCCTCCCGCTCAAGTGCCTGCGCCTAGGAAAGCCAAGGAGCTGCGTGCTGTCCTTTCTCCCCTGGACTTGGTCAGCGCGGTGACAGTGAGCAGGGCAGTGGGGTGGGGGACCCGACGGGGCGGGCGTCATACTGACTGTGCAGAGCCATGTGGTGCTCCCCCTTTCCAGAGCTTGCTGGCGGGCGTCCTGGCTGGAGCCTCTCTCCACCCATGTGGGAGACCCTAGCCAGCCTCCAGGGCGACACTGCACTGGATCTGTTTGTGCAGGTGTTATGTTCGAGGGACCATGGGGTTGGGGAGGACCCGGCCGCCGTGCGGGGGCAGGGTGGCAGAAAGGCTGCTGGGAACGAGTCAGATTTTAGTGCCAGCTTCAGTCTTTTCTGTCTGCATTGGGTCACTTTCCCTAGGAATCTGGGAGGAAGTAAAACCTGTCTGTAGTTGACCCAGACTTTGCTCGTGGCAGATCCAGATTGGCTTGAGAATCTTCCCAGAGTCTGCTGCCAGGTGCGGAGCAGGGGCTGGGCCCTGGCCCGGAAGGGACAGGATGCCCCCTGCTTGGGGCTGTGCCAAAGACTTTATATAGCATTTTTTAAGTGCAAGGTGACTAGTTAAAAATTTTTATCAGTGACCAAATTAGAATGTATTTACTATAGTGAGAAGTTTAAGACCTTTTTTTTTTTTTTAACATAAGACAAACTGATAGGAAAGCTGTCATTTTTTAAGGTGGGTCCATGGCATCGTGCAGCTCGCCCGCTGCTAAAGGTAACTATATGACTTGGTTGTAGTGAATCTACTTTGTTTCTAATTATACTGATAATGATTTAGTAGCTCTTAGAAATTACGTATATTTTGTGCTACTGTTATCACTGTTTAAAATTCTTTATTTTATTAATATTTATGCACTTGTTTCCCATTTCAGGCCTTTGGTCTTTTGGGGGGAAAATAGGACGTTTGTTATTGACATCTAGCCTAGATATTTTCAAATTATAAGCAAGAACAATTAAGCTTTAGGTGTATTTATAAGCTATTCCGGTCAGTTCTTTCTGTGGGGTTCAGGGTGGGGGTTGGAGGCGCCCCCTCCCAGGCACTCGCTGGCTCTGAGGACAGGTGTGCGGTGGGAAGACCAAAGAACCACCCAGAGTGGAGCTCCCGGGGCTACCTCGGGGCCCTCCCACCCCTGCTGCCTGTCTGCAGTGGCCCTGGTTTTCTGAGGGGCCACCCATGCTGGGCTCAGCCAGGCTCGGCGTCTCAGGGTGTCACCGCCCCGCAGTCAGGTGATGAAGGGGGGCGCTGGGTGTAGCAGCTGAAGCTGCGTGGTGCTCGGCGAGGCCGTTCTTGTTGCCGAATCTGTCAGCTCCTGAGTGTTCAGTATTAGGGTGATGTTACATTGTCACACCATTTGTGTAACTGTGGTCAGCAGAAGACCACGACTCAGTGCTTCATGTGGATTAATTTATGGAAGCCACAATCTGTATGTCTGTTTTGAGTATTTAGAGGAGAATGTTATTGGAATGGAATTTTCTTAACCCAGAAGGTAGTATTTATAATGCATAATCATTTACTTGTAGTGAATTGTTTAAAGTTAACACTTGTTCAAATTTTTTTACACTATAGCATTTATGCAATGGTTTACAGAATTCATGGAATTATTTTTATCAGTAGGGAAATTAATTAAAACTTTGAATCTTTATTTTGTCTGCATCTTTGCACACAACCCCGAGAGCCTGCTGGCACAGAAGGAACAGGAAGGTGTCCTCTGGCTGTGACCTGTCACCCTGCTCCTCCTGCCTCAGATCACAGGGTGTTCCCACGCAGTCCAGGGTCGCCTCGTAGTAGCTCTGCTGTCTTGTCCGTGGGTGTCCTGGGACCCAAGTGCTCAGAGCTGGAAGTTTCTGCCAAAACACCAGGCGGCAGGAGGTCAGGACCTGACCTACAGGGCGGCAGGTCCCAAGGTGGGCTCAGCCCCAACCCCTGGGCACAACTGACCTGCAGGCTTCACGTAGGGGAGGCCGTGCTGGGTCAGTATGCTTTTAAGTCTTTTCATCTCCTTTGACAGGGCTTTATGAGCCTAGAACAGGAGTTGAAATGGAGCAGTCAGGCCCTTGGTGGGAGGCCGGTCCCAGGCCTGGGAGCGCTGTCTGTACCTCGTTACAGCTCTCCAGCGTCTGAAACACCAGGCCCTTGGCACCTCCTTCCTGCTGCACCGATTCACTTTGTTTTGGGGTCTTTAAATAACCAGCATCCTCAAAAATCGCCCTGAGTGACTTCTCGTAGCCCTGCAGGTGGAGGACGAGGAGGGAGCACTGCTGCAGCTGCACTGCTCCCTGCCCAGGCGGCGCCCGCCCTGTCGCTCACCTGGGATGTGATCAGCTCATCCGCCAGGTCCTGCTCCACCCGATCCCACCTCTGCTGCAGGGCCGTGGGCAGGGCCGGGTACACTGAGAATCCAACAGAAACCAGACTAAGCGGAGCCCCTCTGCCCCCCACGTCCCCCAGTGCCCCCTGCCGGCCCCGGCGCCCACCTAACAAGGAGTGGGGGTGGCAGACGAGGGGCGTCTCGAAGGTCAGTGCGTAGACACAGGTGCTTGGCTCAGACACGTGGGCCAACCGGTTGGTTTTGCCACAGGTGAGCTCCACCTGGTGGGAAACCTTGGTGAGCGGGTGGGGGGAGCAGGCCCCAATCCCACCCTCCTGCCCAGCCCACCTTGCTCTGCCGGCTCCGGGAGTGGCAGGAGTCACCGTCCCTCATCCACATGCCCCTGAAGGTGTTGTTGGCGATTTCCCACTCGTGCCAGATGCTGGGGAGGAGCAGAGTGGGTGAGGCTGGGTGGGGTGGACGATGGACAGGTGGAGCCGCAGCCACCCCCAGCGCCGCTCACCCGAGGATCCCACTGTAGGCGTTCCAGCGGAAGGTCTGCTCGTGCTGCGTCACATTATGGAACGGGCAGAGCTCGTACTTGTACCTGGGGGCACAGCGCTGTCAGGGGGCGTCCCAGGCCCTGGCCACGCCTGCCCCTGCCCTCACTCACGTGGACTCCACCAGGCTGAAGCACTTGCCAGAAAGTCTGGAGAGATGCACGGGCCCTGGAAGGGGAGAGCACGGCCCGCTGAGCGTGGTGCAAAGAGCAGGCGTGCAGAAACCCACAGAACCAGGGCCATTTAGGAAAAGATCCAGTAGTTTAAACTTTAAAACTGGAGCAAAAGAGTTGGAGCAACATCAGCAAAGTACCAGACTAGGAAGCTCCAAGCTCATATCCCTGTGAAAACAGCAAGTGAACCACTACAAACCAGCTGAGCTAACCCAGTTCTGCAAATCAGGGCTACAGCAACCAAGTGAGCACCACGCAGCAAAGCCACCACCCCAGCGTGGTTGTGAGGAGCAGGCTGACCTCATCTGCAACATCCCAGCCTAGCTGGGGGCTGCCGGGAGGACTGGTCTCTGTTTTGCCCAACTCAGATCACCAGGAAGGAAAGGGAGCTGCTCACGAGGGCTGCAGCAGGGCAAGGGGTTATGGCTGGACACACACAACAGGCCATCCAGGACCTGAGAAGGAGCTGGGGTGAGACTCTTGGAGAACCAAAGACAACCAGGAGCAGCCTGCACACAGCTGCCCCTAGACTCTGAACACACCCAGCCTGGTGGTGAAGGCCGCCCCAGCATGGGGCCAGGCTGCAAAGGAACTGCAGCCTCTTCAAAGGAAAACCCAACAGAACCACCTGGGAGAAGCCCAGACACTGGACTGATAGAAGGCTTCAGTTAAACAAATGTCTGAAATATGCTTAAGGACCTGGAGGGAAACACAAAGAACTAAAGTCTATCAGGCAAATGACATGTAGGCAGAGAGACGAACAGTATCGAAAGGAACCAAAAAACTCTGGAGCTGAAAAATACAACTGAAATAAATCCACAAAAGGGGTTAACATATTTTGAGCAGAGAAAAGAACCAGTGAAGAGATGGCAGGACACACAGTGGGAGTCCCTGAAGGAAGAGAGGGGCAGAGAGAGTATCTGAGGAAATGACTCTCCCAACTTGACAAAACACATGAATCTACACATCCAAGCAGCTCACTGAACTCCAAGTACAATAAACTCAGAGACACCCACACCAAAACACAGAAGAAAACTGTCAAAAACCAAGTCCAAAGCAGCAAGGAGTGACTCATCACATCAAGGGATCCTTAATAAGATTACCCACCCATTTCTCTGCCACACTTCAGAGGCCAGAAAGCTGTGGGATGGCAGAAAAAACTGTCAACTGAGGAGTCTACATCCAGGAAACTATTCTCCAAAAATGAGGGCAAAATCAAGACACTCCCAGATAAACAAAAGCTGAGGGATTTCGTTACCACGAGGCCTGCCCCGGAGAGGCAAATACACTGGCAAACCCAAAGCAGTATGTGATTCTGATCTGCAAACTACAGGGTTTAAAAAGATGCATAAAAATAATTACAAATCTACATTTAAAGAGGTAATTTCTGAAATCAATAACAAAGTTGGGGGGAGGGACAGAGCTGTACAGGAGAAGTCTTTGAATTTATACCAATTTCAATCATGTACAAATTAGACTTAACAGCTTTATGATCGTATGTAATCCCCTGGCAACCGTAGAGGAAATAGCTACACAGACTAATACACAAAAGTAAAAAGGACGTCAAAACATGTCACTTAGAAGTAAGTCAACAAAAAGGAATGGAGGGAATGAGACAAAAAAACTGTAAGACAAATTTTGCTGTTTTGTTTCCTCTAAATCCTTCCTTATCAATGACTACTTTAAATGTAAACAGATTAAACTCTCCCATTCAAAAGGCACAGATTGGCCAAATGGGTAAAAAAAATGTGATCCAACTATATATACTGTTTGTAAGAGACGCATTTAAGATCAAAGACACAAGCAGGCTGAAAGTGAAAGGATGGAAAAAAATACGCAAATAATGAGAGAAAGCAGGGATGGCCACACTAATATCAGACAAAATAGACTATCAGGGACTTCCCTTGCTGGTCCAGTGGTTAGGAATCCGCCTTCCAATGCAGGGGATTCAGGTTCGATCCCTGGTCAGGGAACTAAGATCCCACATGCCTCAGGGCAACTAAGCCTGCGTGCCACAACTAGATAGCCCACGTGCCACAACTAAAGAGAGGCCTGCGCTGCAACGAAGAGCCCACTCGCTGCAACAGAAGATCCTACATGCCAAAATGAAGATCCCTGCCGCAACTGTGGCCTGACAGACTGGATACAGCCAAAAAAAAAAAAAAAAGAAAAGACTATCAGTCAAACACTGTTAAAGGAGATAAAGGAAGACATTATTCATTGATAAAAAAGGTCCATTCACCAAGATTATAACAATTACAAACATATGGGCACCAAACACCAGAGCTCGAAAACAAAGCAAGCACTGACAACTAAAGGGAGAAACAGGCAGTTCCACAATCCTTGGACATTCAACACCCCAGTTCTAGGGACACAGAGGACCTGAACACACTAAAACCACCAGACCTAATCGACATATACAGAATATCCCACCCAACAACAGCAGAAATTACATTTTTTAAGTGTACGTGGAACATTCTCCAGGACACACCATATGTTAGGCCACTTAACAAACTTAAGAAGACTGAAATCATAGTTTCTTTTCTGAACACAATGGAAACTAGAAATCAATAGCAAAAGCAATGTGGGAAATCCACAAACATGGAAATTAACACAATCTTAAAGAACCAAAGGCTCAAAGAATTCACATGGGAAACTTGTTTTTGTTTCAAAATATTTTCTAAATACAAGGTACCAAAAATTATCAGATACAGTGAAAGCAATGCTAAGAGGGAAATCAACAGCTGTAAACATATTCAAAACAAGATCTCAAATCAATAACCTAACTTTTACACTTTAAGAAACTAGAAAAAAAAGCTAGCAAGCTGGACTTCCCTGGTTGTCCAGTGGTTAAGACTCCACACTTCCAATGCAGGGGGTGTGGGTCCAGTCCCTGGTTGGGGAACTAAGATCCCACATCCTGCATGGCACAGCAAAAAACAAACAAACAAAACTAGCAAGCAAAAGGAAGAAAATAAAGATTAGAGCAGAGATAAATAAAACAAAGAAAAATCAGTAAAACCAGAAGTTGGTTCTTTGAAAAGATCAACAAAATCGACAAACCTTTAAACTAGATTTACTGTAACAAAAAAGAAGATGGGCTTCCCTGGTGGGGCAGTGGTTAAAAATCCGCCTTCCAATGCAAGAGACACGGGTTCGAGCCCTGGTCTGGGAAGATGGAATCTTCCAGATTCCATCTGCGGAGCACCTAAGCCCGTGCGCCACAACTACTGAGCCTATGCTCTAGAGCCCATGAGCCACAACTACTGAAGCAAGCCTGTGCACCTAGAGCCCATGCTCTGCGACAAGAGAAGCCACCGCAATAAGAAGCCCACACACCACAACGAAGAGTAGCCCCACTTGCCGCAACTAGAGAAAGCCCGTGTGCAGCAGCAAAGACCCAACACAGCCCAAAATAATTAAAAAAAAAGATTCAAATTACTAAAATCATAAACAAAAGGAGGGGACATTACTACCAATTTTACAGAAATAAAAAGGATTACAAGAAAATACTATGAAAATTGAAGAAGGGGGACACCTCCTGACCCAATTCTATGAGGCCAGCATTCCCCTGATATCAAGGCCAAAAAGATACCTGACAAGAAAGGAAAACTACAGACGTCAACATCCCTTGTGAACATCAGTGCAAAAATCCTGAACAAAATACTGGCAAACTGAAATCAGCAGCACATTAAAAGGATTCTACAGTGTGAAAAAGTGGGGTTTGTTCCTGGAATGTAAGGATGGTTCAAAATTTTTTTAAAAAAATTTTTTAATGTAATACACCCCATTAACAGAATAAGGGGGGGGGAATTATCATCTAAATTGTTGCAGAAAAAAGCACCTATCAAAATTCAACACTCTTTCATGATGAAAACACTCAACAAAGGAGGATTAGGAGGAAACTTCCTCAACGCAATAAAGGCCATATATGCAAAACCCACAGCGAATATCTTACTGAATGGTGAAAGACTGAAAAAGCTTTCCTCCCAAAAGCAGGAACAACACAAGGAAGCTCTCAGCACTATTCACTATTCGACACTGTACTGGAGGTTCTAGCCAGAGCAATTAGGCAAAAAAAAGGAAAGGCATCCTAATTAGGAAGGAAGAAATAAAATTACAATGCGGTGTTTGCAGATGACATGATCATATATATAGAAAACCCTAAAGAGTCCACAGAAATATATTAGAGCTACTAAATTCAGCAAAGTTGTAGGATACAGAAGTGACACTAAAAACCAGTTGTGTTTCTATACAACAACCCAACAGACAACCCAACAGACAACCCAAAAAGGAAATTCAATGAAACAATTCCAGGGATTTCCCTGGTGGTCCCGTGGTTAAGACTCTGCGCTCCTAAGGCAGGGGGCCTGGGTTTGATCCCTGATCAGGGAACTAGATCCCACATGCCACAATGAAGATCCCACACGCAGCAACAAAGCTGGATTCCCAAAGGACCCCAAATAGTCAAAACTATATTGAAATAGAAAAGTTGAAGGACTCACAATTACTGATTTCAAAGCTTACTTCAAGGGGAATTCCCTGGTGGTCTAGTGGTTAGGACTTGGTGCTCCCACTGCCAGGGACCCAGGTTTGATCCCTGGTTGAGGAACTAAGATCCCACAAGACACGCAACACCGTCAAACCAAAAAAAAAACAAAAAAACCCCACAAAGCTTACTTCAATGCTACAGTAATTAAACCAGTGCAGCATCAGTATAAAGACAGACATGTAGACCAACGAAACAGAACAGAGAGCCCAGAAACCCTTGAATATATGCTCAAAGGATCTGTCAGGTGCTGAGACCATTCAGTGGGGGAAAGGACAGACTTTTCAACAAATGGAGTCGGGAAGCTGGATGTTCATATGCACAGGAATGAAAGTGGACCCTTACCTCACACCGTGTACAGAAATTAACTTAAAATGGATCTGAGACTGAAACTACAAAACATAAGGGGAAATCTTTGACATTGGCTTTGTGCTTTGGAAATGATT